ACAGAAGCACTCACAGATGTCGGTATTGGTGGGGGATCCTAGAAGCAATCCCGTACTGCTACCAAGGGATGACTGTATTTCTGAAAGCCTTAGAATGGCCTGTTAGAAGACTTACCTGTGGAAGGTGCTTCCTTTATATCCTATTGGAACCCCATCTTTTCTATAAGCAAAAAGAAAGAGACTTGGAATGATGACAGGTAACCACAGGCCTTTCAAGTTTTACAACATATTGGAGTCAAAGGGACTATCCTAAAGTTGATTTGAAGAGGAGAGATAGACAGATAAAAGAACTAAGAGTTGAATCTTGGGGTATTAGACTGGCCCATGGTTCGCTAATACCTTCACTGCAGCCCCAGGACATCCCTCGGGAGCAGGCAAAAAAGTCCAACACGTCTGAGACTGACCTGAATTCTCCAGTGCAGAACTGCCTAAAAGGGAAAAGAGTGAACGAGTCAGTCACCATGACGTCCCAGGTGCGAACACCTTCAATCTCAAGAGGGGAGGGGCTACAGGCATTAGACCCTGAAACTTACTACCCAGTTGGTCAGATGTCAAGGCCCCCAGGAATATAGCCTAGCAAGTTCACACAGGAAAAATAAAAACCGGTAACTATTCGTACAAAGTAATACCCAGATCTCAAGAGCAGTGAGCAGATGCTAGAGGAAGCTGGGCGATTCCACAGACTGACTGGGCCCTGGCTTCTGCTTGGCTTATTCCGACACAGCTGGATCTTCTCCTTACCTGAAGTTCTCGGCCGTCTTGGGCACGACATCTGCAAACAGCTCGATCTTCATGCGGCCAACTTCCTGTGAACAGCAGGAGACGGTCAGAAGGTTCAGTCCACGCCTGTGAAGGGCTCGTGGAGCTGGGAGCACGATGAGCTGCTCCACCCTCCAAGGCTTCTCGGGATCTTACTCCTCCACCACTCTAGCCTAACTTTGCGTTCGGCCCGGTCCCTCCAGAAGCCGAGCGCTAAGGTGAGCCAGAGTCTTCCGCCCCCTTCCTCCCTCCAGCCTGGCAGGTGGGTAGGCTCTGGTGTAGTTTCACTTTCTGGCCTCAAGATTCCTCTCTCCTTGGGATGATGAGTGCATCCTGGCCAGCCCCGTGCATTATCTCTTTGCTACAGGGATGAAGTGGCCGACGGTATCTCACCTGACCACCGATGCTGACATCAAAGAATACCACAGGGTTCACCGGGCTTGAATTTGCCACCGCCATGGCTCTGACCCGGAAGCACAAGTCAGGTTCCGGTGACCTAAACCCAGCCCCGCGGCTGGCGTTGGTCCACGGCGCAGACGCGGGAGGAGCCCTCCGGGCCGCCGGGTCTCTGGTGGTGCCGCCTGCGGTGGTCGGCTTCTTCCGGCGGGCGCGCCAAAGGTGGGGGGCTTTGGAGGGGAAGCAGCGCTCCTCGCTCATGTGGCTATATTAGTTACAGTGCAAATTAAATTTTCTTGGGCTAGGGCGTTTGGACTAGAAGTCTTGAGGGATTTAGCACTTCAAGCTAGGACTTCAAAATCGTTATATAAATATATAAAAATATATATATATATATATATATATATATATATTTAACATCAGTTCAGGGAGGTGAAACTCACGAAGAAAAGACCTCTTTTGCCCATCGCCAGCATTTAGAACACCGTGGCACGTAAGCTTTAGTAAGTAACCCTTCCTACAATACTTACCTCAGTAAGGAACCCTGCCTTGCAGTTAGAACACTGGAATTTTCATTTCAGTTCTGCCACAAGCTTCCAGCACATTTTCCACGAAACTGTGGCCTGTTAAATTATCCTTATGCTTATAAATCACATCTGGCTTCCCTACCCTAAATGCATAAATCCCCAGCCACCTACCTCTTTCGGTGCCCCCCTCCCCCCGTATATGCTCTACCTTTCTGTTCCTTGAGGAATTAAATCTCTTTAGGCCCTTGGTACCAGTACAGTTGTTATTCTACCCAGAATATTCTTATACATCTTAATGGGGAGAGGGACTTGTTCCTCTTACTGGGTTTTGGAGTGTTAGAGTTATTATACATAGCTAAGTTAGGTAGAAGTTATAGGCAGTCAGATAGGGCTGGGCCCTCCAGAGATCAATGCAGAAGACAGCTGTGGCTGGAGACATATTTACTGACGGCCAGACTTCATGAAAAAGAGGAACTGCTCACCCATATACTTCCCCTAAGGATGAACAGCAGTGATTGATATTCTGAATAGACATCAATCACCTGAGGGTAGAGGACCAAACCTCCTTAACCCACCCCCTCCAGGAAAGTTCTTGGCTGTTTCTTGTGTGCTTGCTATGTGATTTGCTTCCCCATTTAATCAATATGACCGAAGGGAGTATACTTGTAATCTTGTTGATTGTCAATAGCTTTATCCCACCTCAGACCGGTCTTATTTTCCATTGGATCAATATTACCTAAGCGACTATACTTGTAATCTTACAGATTCATTATAGTTATGTCCCACCCAAACCTGCCTCACCTTGTGACTTGGCAGGAAACCCATTTTTTGGCCCCTTTCTGTCCTTCTTAGAAGCTCTCTTTCTCTTAATAAATTCTTCTTACCCTTAACCTCCATTGTGCCTAGAATTCATTCCTCAAGTCTGGAGAACACAAACTTGGTGTTTCGGTCATCTAGCAGGTTGGAGTTCTAGTTCCCCTATATTAAAGTCTCCTTTTATAGAAGGTTTCTAGCTTCTTTTTGTCTTGAACAAAGAGTTGGTTGAGACAAGTGCAAATAGCTGCAAGGTTTTACATTCATTAAAAGTAGGAAAAAAAACAGGCTGTGCAGATGAGTTTGGTCCAAGTAAAAGTAGAAAAATACACTCTACCAGGAGGAGTGGCCTACAGAGAACGATTAGAGTTCAATTCCCAGTACCAGAAAAAAAACCAAAACCAATAAATAAATAAATATATGAAAAATATTGCCCAGTTTTAGCCACTAAGGAAGTAAAATCAAAACTACATTAAGATTCTGTCCCTTCCCAATCAGAAAAACTATCACCAAGAATACAAAAAACAAGCTAGGCATGGTGGTACACACCTGCAATACCAAAACACTGGGTGGCTGAGACAGGCCCAAGTTCAAGCCCAGTTTGGGCAGTTTAGCAGCTTAGGGAAACCCTGTTGTGGTAGGGTCCCTCCAGGTATGTTGGGGTGGGAACTTCTTACAATGTAGCAATGTCAACCTTTATACAGGCATGTGTAGTTCTGATGTAATAGTAACAGAAATCATAAACCAACCAGACTGTAAAATGTTAGTGTATGCCCATATAAGGGAGACAAAGACACATAAATTGTAATAAAAGGGTGCAACTGTGCCATATTCAGCACTCAGCCTTTGGCTTCGAATCCACTGAGTCAGTGCTAGCAAGAATAAAGCTGCTTCCTGTGAAAAAGGCCTCAGTGGCTGTCTCTCTACATGAAAAGCCCATAGCACTGTCTCAAAATAAATAGTTAAAAAAATGCTGCAGATCTAGCTCAGTGTGAAAGCCCTGGGTCTAATCCTCAATACTGGGGTGGGGGTGGGGGAATGACACACCAATAAATGCTGGTGAGGATACAGGAAAATGGAACCCTTCTATTTTGCTGATAGAATGCAAATCAGTACAACCACTGTGGAAATCGGTAGGTTTCTCAAAACCCCCCTGAAAATACAGCTCCCTCCAGCTATACCACTCCTTGGTATATACCCAAAGCAAATGAAGTCAGCATACTATAGGGTTACCTGGATACCTATGTTTATTGAGGCACAATGAGCAAAATAAGTGAGACTCAAAAAAATCAAATATCCCATGTTCTTCCTAATATGGGGAATCTAAAAAAGATGATAAGCAGAAGAGAGACTGCTGTTGGACAAGAGGAAGGGAAGGGAAGGGGGGAGCATAAGAACGGGCAATTGGGAGGATGGATATGAGCAGAATATGTGTCAATCCCCCCATGTGAAACTAGCAGGGAGCTTGATGGGGAGATGGAAATGATCAAAGTATGTTATGCGTGTGTATGAATCTGCTAAAATGAAACCTATTGATATATATTAACAAATTTTAAAACAGCAGAAAAAATAAAAAGGGGTAAGTAATTTATATGGCATCAACATAGAATGTCTCATGGCTACTGATAATGTTTTCATGATGTATTAAATTAGAAGTCGGACTATGGGCTGGAATATATTCAGTACTTCAAACTCAAAATGTCATGTAGCATGCCTGAGGCTCTGGGTTTGATCCCCAGTACTGCCAAAAATGAAATAATGAAATGAAATGAAATCAGACTATGAAAATAACTCTAAAATGGAAAAGGTTAAGAATGTAGAATTATAGGGCAAGATGTAGTGGCATGTGCCCACAATCCCAGCACTCTGGGAGACAGAGAGGAGGATCAAAAGTTTGAGCCTAGCCTGGGCAACTTGGTGACTTAGTAAAAGGCGAAAGATTTATACGATCTGAAGAGAAACCAGAGTATGACTTGGTGACTTAGACCCTATCTCAAAATAGAAAATAAAATGCAAATAAAATGGGCTGGGGATGTAGATCAGTGTGAAAGCTCCAGTTCAATCCTCAGTATCTCCACCACCACCACAACCGGGGGGAAAAAAAAAAAAAAAAAAAAAAGGAAGTAGAATTATAGGAGAGTTTTTTTTTTGTTTGTTTAAAAATACATTGTTTTTTAGCCGGGCATGGTAGTTCTTGCTTATAATCCCAGTACTTGGGAGGTTGAGGCAGGAGGATTGCTGGGAGTTCAAAGCCAGCCTGGGTTACAAAGTAAGTTCTACACCAATCTGAGTTGCATAGTGAAACCCTGTCTCAAAAAGACAAAAAAAGAGAAAAACCCACCAAACATTGTTTTTGCTTTTAAATAATTAAATACAAAAATTACCCATGATAATGAGAAAGAATGCTGAGTTAACCAGTGTCTTCTGCTGAAGAGAAACCTAATGAATTTAAGTCACTATATTGAACAATACATGCATTTGAGGGTATCAAATAAACTTTAGAAATCCATTTTTAGAAATTGTTTAATGAATGTATGAGCAATTTTGAAGATTCTTGGTTGACGTCTCATAGAGATCTGTGGAAACTCTTCTCCATATTATATTCCATCTTTCTGTCCAACCTTTAAATTAGCAGGTATTTATCAGTATAGTTGCAGACATCAGTAATTTTACAGTTTTGACTTTTGGTCTTGTTCTTGTATGCTGTCTGTATGTTTCAGAGAAGCCCCATTTTTGTATCTAGTTTCAGAATTCTGTGAACGGGAAAGATACTTGGGGCACTCAGGAACTGTTGTTGCTGCTTCTGACTTATATTTTTCAGTTTCTTGAATACTTCCGGGTGACTCTACCAAACCTATTCCTGAGAAACTGAGAAAGAGCATGTGAGAGGACATCATATGGGTAGGACTGCATGGTAAATGTTTGGGCTTGCAGGGGTACGGCACTGATATGATTTCACCTTTTTATAACTACCAAGCACGAAGAAAACAATCACACCAAATAAAATTTAAACCTATGCTCAGGGATTATCTCCTGCCTTAAATCAGGATTCTGTGGGGTATGAGGGGAAAAGGGTAGCAAGGGGAGAAGGCACTGGGAGAAAATATAAATATTAAAAGTAGAATCCCCCCCCCCACCGCATGCTATGCTTTCTCAATCCAGCAATTTAGAACTAGGTAGCTGCTATGACTCTGAGGCACGCAGTTGATTATCTCAGTTTTACTAACCTAGAGCTTGGTAAAGGCAGTATTTTGTTCAATACTTCAAACTCAGGAATGTCGTTAATTGTTTCCTGAAAGGAAAGAAATAATGTTTAATTATATTAAACATTATAATGATAAGTGATTGGCAATGTGGGCCTAGAACTTGTAACATGTAGATATAGATGCAGTTATAAAAATACATATATTTCAGAGGCCAGGGATTCAGCTCAGTGGCACAGTACCTGCCTGGCAAGCGTGAGGTCCTGAGTTCAAGTCCTGATAACCAGGCCCCCAAAACCCCATATATCTGCACACACTACAGACAACAAAGCATTAAAGAGATAAAAAGTTGCTTGTCTTCTCACCTGCTATGTAAGTCTGCCAGTCTTAAAATTTTTTTTTTTTTTTTCCAGTACGGGAAATCAAACTCACGACCTTGTGCTTGCCAGGCAGGCACTGTGCCACTGAGCTAAATCCCCAGCCCATACCCCCAAGTCTGCCAGTCTAGTCTCTCTTTCTTCAATATATAAAACATTCCTTCAATATATAAAAATAGTCTATTTATATCTGTCCACCTTCCTACACACATAGCCCTACATACTCAATCTTTACCTTGTTTCTTCCTTTTGTTATATATATTTTCAAAGTAGAAGTATCTTTTTTTTTTTTTGTCTTCTGTCTTTTCTTCCGGTACCAGGAATCGAACTCAGGACCTTGCACTTGCCAGGCAAGTGCTTTGCCGCTGAGCTAAATCCCCAGCCCCTAGAAGTATCTTTTTTACGGGGGTGGTACTGGGGATTGAGCCCTACATCCTCTGCCAATTATTTTTCTTTTTTTCTTTTTCTGTTTGGTTTTTCAATTTTTTGGTGCTGAGGACCGAACCCAGGGCCTCACTCTTGCTAGGCAGGCTCTGTGCCACTGGGGTAAATCCCTAAACCCCTCAGACTACTAGAATGCTAAGATTATAGGTATGTACCACCATATCTGGTACTATTTTTTTCCTTTTAAATAAGATCTTTGTTGACAAGTAACTCACATAATAGCATGTCACTCTTAACATGTTCAGTGCAGTGCTTTTCTATATATTTGGAGTTAAGCAACTATGCCCACTAATTCCAGAACATTATCATTACACTGATCCCCCTGCAAAGCCCATGGTCATTCACCCCACTATTTCTCTTTCCCCCAGCCCCTGGCGATCACTACTACATGTCTTTATGGCTTTTTTATTCTTGACTTTTCATATAAATGTGATTATACAATATGTAGCTTTTGTTTCTGGTTTCTCTAAAACATTAGCATGCTTTCAAATTTCATTCATGTTGTAGCATGAATCAGTACTTCCTTTTTTTTTTTCCTTCTTTTTTTTTTGAGACAGGGTCACAATAAATAGTTCAGGCTGGCCTTGCACTTGCAGCAATCCTCCTGTTTCAGCCTCCCAAGTGCTGGGATTACAGGCATGCGCTACCACACCCAGATGCATTTCTTTTTGTCTAAATAATCTATTTTGCTTATCATTTCTTTAGGCAATGGAGATTGGATTGTTTCCACCTTTTTATTATGACTAATACTGCTAAGAATATGTATATGTAAGAACATAAATATTTGGATATTGCTAGTCTGAATAATTTAAAACATTTACTAAAAGCCAAGCATGGTGCACATGGCTGTGATCCCAGCACTTAGAAGGGTGAGGCAGAAGGATTGTCAGTTTAATGTCAGCCTGGGCTGCATAGCAAATTTTAGGGGAACCTGTACTACACAATGAGATCCCATTTTTAAAAAATGAGAATGTTTTGAAGTCAGGTGGTATGAAAAAAATGTCACCAGTTTTGACAAATTATAATTGCATGTATTTATGGGGTGTAAAATGATGGATGATATATGCATACAATGCGGAATGACTAGATTATGCTAATTAACATATATATCACCTCACTTTTTTTTTTTGTCTTTTTGAGACGGGGTCTCACTATGGAGTTCAGGCGGGCCTTGAGCTCACTTTGTAGCCTAGGCTGCTCTTGAACTTGCAACGATCTTCCTGCCTCAGCCTCCCAAGTGCTGGGATTACAGGTGTGCACCACCACGCCCAACCACATATTTATTTCTCTTGTCTAACTAAAACTATCTATTTTGATCAACAACGCCCCATTCTCCCATCCCCCAGCCTTTGGTAACCATTCTGTTCTTTCCCTCTAAGAGTTTGCTTGCTTTAGGTTCCACGTATAAGTGAGAATAAGTGGTACTTATCTTGACTTATTTCACTTAACATAACACCCTTTTGGGGGCTGGGGATTTAGCTCAGTGGCTAAAAGTGCCTGCCTGGCAAGCGCAAAGTCGTGAGTTCGGTTCCCGGTACCAGAGAAAAACCAAAAAAAAAAAAAAAAAAAAAACACCCTTTTAGTTCATCCATGTTGTTGTAAATTACAGAAGTTCTCCTTTTTTTTTGATAGCAGGAATCAAACTCAGGACCTTGGCCTTGCCAGGCAGGTGCTGTGCTACTGAGTTATATCCCCAGCCCTAGAATTTCCCTCTTTTTAAAGGGTGAATAGTATCCACTGTGTATATATGCATTTTCTTTATGTATTCATCCACTGATGGACTTAGATTGATTCCATAATTTGGCTATCATGAATAATGCTAAAATAAATACAGGATGTATTTATTTCAAGTCCTCTAGCTGTATACCCAGAAGTAGGATTGCTGGATCACATGGTAATCTTTTTAGTTTTTTGAGAAACTTCCATACAGTTTTATATAATGGCTATATTAATTTTCTATAATAGCTGTATTAGTCCTACCAACAGTGTACAAGGGCATGTGTTTCTCTGTGTCTCACCAACATTTACTTTTATCTTTCTGACAAGTATGAGGTGATACATCCCCACGGTTTTAATTTGTATTTCTCTAAGATTAGTGATGTGGGGCATTTTTTCAGGTATCTATTGGTCATTTGTAATTGTGTTGTTTCAATTACTATAGCTCTATTATAGTTTGAAGTCAGGTGGTATGAGGCCTCCAATTTTGTTCTTTTCACTCAATACTTGTGGTGGGTATTTAGGGCTCTTTCTAGTTCCAAATGAATTTTAGCATATTTTTTTTCTATTTGGGTAAAAATGACATTGGACTTTTAATAGGGATTGGACTGAATCCGAGTATTTCTTAGGGAAATATACACATTTTAACAATGCGACTTCTTCCAGTCCATGAGCACTAATGTCTTTCCATTTATTTGTGTTTTTTCAATTTTTTTTATTACAGTTTTTTAGTTTTCCGTGTAAGTCAAGATAAGTACCACTTATTTTTACTACATGTGGAATATTTCACCTCCTTGGCTAAATTTATTCCTAATTATTATTTTTCTTGTTGTTGAGACAAGGTCTCACTATGTAGTTCAGGCTAGCAATGAACTCACTAGGTAGCCCCAGGCTGGCCTCAAACTCATGGTGATCCTCCTGCCTTAGCCTCCCGAGTACTGAGATTACAGGCATGTGCTCCCATGCCTAATTCCTAATTATTTTTTGGTGGCATTATATATTTTCTTGATTTCTTTTTCAGAAAATTCATTGTTGGTACATACAATACTACTGATTTTTGTTGTGTTGATTTTGTATCCTGTGACTTTATTTGTTTATTAAGTCTAACAGAATTTTATTGATGGGGTATTGAGGGATTTCTACATGTTAGATTATATCACCAGTGACAATTGCATTTCCTTCTTCTTTTCCCTCCTCTTCCTCCTCTTCCCCATCTTCTTTTTCTTCTTCCTCCTCTCCCTCATTTTGGACAGGATCTCACTATGTAGTCTGGGCTGGTCTTGAATTTACTATGTAGTCCTACATGGTCTCAAATTCATGACTCTCCTGCCTCAGCCTCTCAAGTGCTAGGATTATATGTGACAGCCACCATACCCAGCACATTTCTTATTTGGATGCTTTCATTTCATTAAGCTTGAATTCTGGCTCTACCAGCTAGTTATGTCATGTCTTGTCACCTGTCTGAATTTGAGTTCCTACATCTCTAAGGTGAGGATAATAGTAATATCTAATTTTTCAGGGTTGATATGAAAATAATATCTAACACACAGCAGGAACTCAATAATGTTTAATGGTGACACATACTATAATGCCAGCACTTGGGAGGCTGATGGAGGAGGACAAGTTTGAGGCCAACCTAGACTATATAGTGAGTTCAAGGCCAGCCTGAATGATAGGAAGACCCTGTCTCAAAAAAAAACCCCAAGTAAATATGTGTGCACTAAGATGTAAATGCTATCATCCCCTGGATGCCAGCTTTTTGCCAAAAAATACTTAGGTAATTTATGAGCATTATTCTACTTCATCCCCAACAACCATCTTTAAAAAAAAATTATTTTTGTATTGGTAGTTGAGGCAGAAATATTACAAATTTGAGCCTATACAACTTAGTGAGATCCTGTCTCAAAATAAAACATAAAAAAGGGTTGAGGATGTAGCCCAGGGTGAAGACCCTAAATTCAGTCCCTTGAACCATAAAAAAACTGTATTTTTGTACTGACTATGGAGATATAATTTATATATCATATCATTCATCCACCTAAAGCACATAATTCAGTTGTTTTTAGTAGTAGTATTTGAAGAGTTGTACAAGTATAACCACAGTGAATTTTTTCTTTTGGTACTGGAAATCGAACTCAGGACTTTGCATTTGCCAGGCAGGCACTTGTGCCACTGAGCTATATCCCCGACTCCACACCACAGTGAATTTTAAAACAGCATGGACAGAATATAAGGGACAGAAAGTGGGCTACTGTGGTTGTTTGCTGCTTTGCTTCCTTATTACTTTGCTGCCTTCTGCCCATCATGAACTGTTTCTCCTCCAAAATGCCACCCTGCCTCAGAGCCACCCAACCATGAACTAAAACCTCTATGTACTGTGAGCTAAATAAACCTTTTCTCCTTTAACTTTGTTTTTGTTGTTGTTGTTGTTGTTTGTTTGTTTGTTTTTTTCTCTGGTACTGGGAACGGAACTCACGACCTTGCACTTGCCAGGCAGGTCTTTGCCGCTGAGCTAAATCCCCAGCCCCTTCTCCTTTAACTTTGGGTGTCAG